TTGCATGTTCGGATTATGAGCCAGCTCACCAAGATATTATTGGCAACGCATTGGTACGCAAGATGGACAATATGGTCAGCGTTGTCTCTTATTACAAGAATATAGAGTTCATTCCTTGTGCCCTTATATCGAGCATGGCTAGACAATTCTTATGGAGGTGGAAGTTACCATTGAAGTTGACGCAATGGGGATAATTAGGGGTTGCATCCCTCACAAAAGCAGTGACAACCTTCACATTATTATGAAAAATTTTTATCGTATTTTTAAGGGTGGTTTTTCATTTGTGTGGTATGATTGTTTTAACCGGGATGTAAGTTTTTCTTGTATCACCTGATGAGGAGGCTATTGGCTTTTGTATGTCGTCAATAGCTAACTTCATCAAATTGCTTGTAGTTCATTTCATATTATGTGTATTTTGTACCAATGATGTATAATTGAGTTCCCTGTATTTTGGACTAGGGACCAGGTTTTCATTCGCCGGTTGGGTGATTGGCTGACTAATATTTTCAGGTCGAGCCAAGTTAGATGTAGTTCATTCACATCAACATTCTTCATCAACTCCGCAATTAGTGAAATTCCCATTCATGTATGCCTTCCTCAGAATCTCGTATACCCTGCAACTGTTGAATAAAATTTAATTTAAACTATGTGCGAATAGTTAATTAATTTCTTTAATGAAACTTATATCAAGGAAATATCAGTTGAAATTTTCAGTGGAATACTTTATCATTGGAATTTGGAAGATATACCCGTTTTAAAATCAGTGTGCAAGAAGTTTTCAAAAAAATCTGGCAGCATGTAGTTGTTAATGTTTGGTCTGTTTTCTATGTTCCAACGTACTCAAATAAATTTGTGGCCTTCATGAGAATTGTAGCTCTATCTCTTAGCTTTCTATATATGTAAGGATCCATTCGAGATGATGTCTATAGCAAGAGTTAAACTTGTTTTTACTGAACCTGTGCATGTGTTGTGATCTAGATTTTTTGCCTAAACTAGTTCCGAATGTTTGTCGATTTATCACCTGTTAAATGCCCTTATTTGCAGTTGAGGTCTTCATAAAAGTTATAGCGTTATCTCTTAACTTTCTATAGGTTTAAAAATAATTCAAATATATTTTTGGAGTAAGGAGTTGTATTCATTTTAGTAAAACAACACATGAGTTATTGTCAATTTTTTGGCAGCATCTAAGTTTCGAATGTTAGCTGATTTTCACCATCTAAATGATCTTATCTGCTTCTATGTTCTAAGTGAAAGTTGTAGCATAATGACTTAAGGTCATTTCAGACTTGAATCATGTCTATATGAGTTATGAGCTGAAAGTTGTACATGATTTAAAAACGTTGTGCATGACATATTTGATCAGGTACTAAGTATAGTTGTATAATCGAATTTTCTCTTTAATGTGCATGGTTATGTTACATGAATGAGACATGTAGGATTGTGTGAGTTAGAATTGAACCTTAGATAAAAAGTTAGTGTCCTTAAGCAAGCAAAGAGTTCAATTAGTCTGAAGACTTTAAACAAGAGTGTTTTCAAAAGAGGTTTAAGCGAGGCAAGGAAAATCAATTGATTTTCCCAGGACTAACATAAGTTATAAAAAGTTAATAAAATACCAATAATGTAGATAGTCGAGGAGTCGAGTCGTCAGCTGTCTAAGGCATCTTTTCAAAGACCAAACCGACTGCATTACGAGTGAGGGAATTTCTGTGTTATGTTTACATTCCTTATATTTGTTTACACTATGATTGAGATATGCTGCTTGTTTAATTATGATTATAGACTTCTGGCAGTACCTTCTGTCGGAAGGACCAAGATTTATAGACTTTCGATTCGTCGGGAGGACCCCAAGAATTATAAGATTCTAGCTTTTGGGTAACACCATTAGTCAGGGGGACCAAGATGCATGGTTATACTTGTTACATGTTAATGTCATTTGATTTGTTATTATATTGAATGTCTATGTAGTATATATTCCACACTGAGTAAGTGAAAATGCTCACCTCTCATTTGTTTTCACACCCAGGTTGCTCGAGTTGGCAAAGGAACGATGGCGAGGGTGGTTAAACAAATAAATTAAATCGCTTTCGTGTTTACTGCTTTAAGTTATTTTCGAAAAAAAGACAATGCATGAGTTTTTTTGCTTTGATGATGATGAGAGACTATTAAGTTTGGTTTATGGTCAAGTTTATTATGCAAGTATGGCAAGCGAGTATGCAATGAGCTATGCTATGATATAATGATGTGCAATTTTTAAAGTTTTCGACGTTATGTTAAGTTTTAAACTTGTAGCGCCTTTGAACTTTCAAATGTTTTTAAGAAAAAGAAAAATTTATTGGAGAAATTCAATGTACGAAAATTGGGGCGTTAGGTGAAACAAATAAATAGATTGGAAATTTGAAATATTTTCCAAACGTTAAAAACCCTACTATTTATTTTGGGCTTCAACCAATTAAAAACTAGACGCTAGGCCCACCCGTCACTGTTTTGGATATGCAAGCATCGTTTCTTGTTGATTATACCAATATTGAACATGTTCTGAAAATATTTTCCAATGTGGATGCTTTTTTCCTTCCTTAATGGGCCTGGGTGGGCCTATAGAAACATGTTGTAGGTGAAACAAATAGATAGATTGGAATTTTGAAATATTTTCTAAACGTTAAAAACTATACTCTTTATTTTGGGCTTTAGCTAAATTAAAAACTAGACGCTAGGCTCACCTAGTTATGGATATGCAAACATTGTTTCTTCTTGATTATATCAATATTGAACATGTTCTAGAAATATTTTTCAATGTTTGTTACAAATTTTTATCTTTACCACGGGATTTGAACTTAATTGCAAGTTTACTATGGGGTAACTTTTAAATGTTACTGACATTTAATTATAAAAATGTAAGATATCAGTTACCAAAAATTAAATGTCATGCCTCCTTAAACTGCGAAAGTTATGGGATTTCAAATTTACATTGTAAAATATGGTATATTTATATATCCTACAAATTAGAAATTCAGTTCAATTCAAATGAAAAGTTACAAAAATTAAAAAAAATTAATTAGGCCAACAATAAGGCCTTAGGGCACCCGCCAAGTTTTTTTTTTGGCGTCGAGTTGGCGTTTAACAAGGATGTGGCCATCCATTGAACTGTGGGCCCCCCATGTTGCGAATGTTCAACCTCCTTTTTTATTTTTGATTTTTAATTTTTTTTGTTTTAAATCAATTGTTTAATTATATTATTTTCCTTTTTATGTTAATTTATTTTTTATTTATATCACGCTTTCCAATATTGATAAATTTAAATTTTATCAATATCACACTTCTCAATTTGTATCAATAATTTATATTTTCTATCTCTTATTCTTTGTTTATAAATACACCTCATTTTACACTTTTTCTGCACCAAAAAACTTAGCAACTGCTCATCAAAATAAAAGATCCTAATATAATTTATAAGTATCAAATTTTTATTTTTATTGAAATATAAAATATTAAATTTTATATCTAATGAATGGAGAATGGATCTCATATATGTATTTAAATGAATGGATATAAATGTAAGTGTGTATTTAAATGGAGAGAGACTTACGGGGTTGTATTCAATTGCAACTTTTAGAGACTTTTTAAGACTTTTAGAATTCTGGTGTATTCAATTAGAACTTTAAAAGACTTCTAAAAAGTTTACATGTATTCAATTG